CACTCTATCCAGGAGGATAATATTTTTTAACAACAAGCTGTAATGAAACAGGCGTAACGACTTTCTACTTCTTACCTTTTTTAAAAAAAAGGTAAGAAGTAGAAAGTACAGATAACTGTGTAAAAATGTAAAAAGTAGAAGTAAAAACTAGGCTGAAAAATAATTACTCAAGTAAAGTACAGGTACCCAAAAGTTCTACTTACTTAGTTACTTTACAACACTGCTATATTAGTAGTATTGATCACATTTTTGTAAATATTGCCCCTTTTCCACTAGTGCCACTTAGTGTAGTGTCGGTACGGTTCGGTGCGATTCCAAGCCATTTCCATTAGGCCAGATCAATGGAACCGGCTCTTTTTTTAGTTCCTACTTCATTGTGGTTCCAACCGGCCCCAGCTGACACCAAAATGCGACGTCAGAACACTGTTCGCCACTGATTGGCTAAATTTTTGCAAATGTTTAAAATTTCAAAAGTTTTTATCAAATATGTTTCCATCTCTCATTTTGCCCATTAACTTTTATTCAAAATACCTAAAAACCACCTCCACCAACCGCCCAAAACACAGCCAGTGGAACCGGACTGGAACATCAGTGGAAAACCAACCTATGTTSACAGGAAAACTGTTAAATCTAGCCTTTTATGTTGTATTAATACAATCAATTTCATCTTATGTTCATTTTAGTCAAAGCTTCGAGGAGCCACTGTTGATGGACCAAAGACCAGCATGTGRCCTCAGAGCTGCAGGCTGCAGACCCTTGAACTAGGTGCAAAAGTAATTTAATTCAAAATGCACACAATGACACTTTCTCATCTCCTCTTAACTTTAATGCACTGAACCTGCAATAAACACTGTTTAGCRTGGAAAGGTGTGATTAGGTTGGTAATTGTGCAGAAACAAACTGCCCTCAAACAAACCACCTGCCTGTGAGAAAATCGGACGGTTCAAGAAGCAGGGTGACCGAACCAAAAACTATGACCTGGATCTGCACAAAACAATGAGGGAAGTGTTAGTATACGTAGAAACTGCAGCATGTAAAACCCACCCATCATCATCATCTTCATCATCTCTGCTTCCTCCTACTAGAAACAGTAAAAAAAGAAGTACCCGCTGGCTGTGTACAGTAACACCTGCCATGTTTATTTTGGTTGCACCCTCCCCACTGACTTGTCTGCTTTGCATATTGGACCTGCGAGTGTGCATTTGAAGAGTGGGCAGATGGAAAGGATGTGAACACTCACAGACAGCAGATGGAAATGGCAAAAAAAAAGGTGATCAGTTAGTTCATTACACAGAAAATACATCCTGAGTACAAAGGAAAATCAAATTTTAATCCAAGCAGGTATTTGTATATATATATATATATATA